AATTGATGTATATTTTAGTCTTCGTTGCTTGTTTCTTTTTTCTGTTTCTATTACTATTTCGGTTATATGCAATCATATACATATTTTAAAATGTAATGTTACTCTTGTCAGTCATAATAAACTCCGAGAACATTTGCTTTCACAAAATTTTTGTGTTATCATTAATTTTAGTTGAGTTTGAATGACAGCAAAAGCAATCTCTCAATGAGTTTATTGCTTTTATTTCTTATTAGGAATCATTATTAACTTTGTTTCTAATTCGTTCACGAAATAAGTGAACATGTATAATCATCCGATTTGAATCCTTTGTGATAAGCACTTTCTCTGCTTGAACAAATTTCAGTAAACAAAGATTTCCCACACGTGATGTATACAAATAATTAGCCGAATTAGATATCTCTTGCAGTTTAGGGTATTTAACTACGTTTCCCACTCTTCATCACCTGAATGGTAAAAATAACGACGAAACTGGTATATGAAATAATTCCTTAACTCCCCGAGTTAGTTGGCAATGACGGGGATGTTTATCATGTGTTGAAAGATAGGTTTTTTCTAGCTAATGACAGCGTGTTTGTTAAGATAGCAAAATAGGAAGCAAAATTCCTTGCGAAGAAATCAGCCTAGATGTTCCTTATAACGGCTAGGAGGTACGTTCTACAATTACTCTAAAATGGACAATGCACACCGCAACCTGGAAGATTTTACTCGCCCCTTGTCATCCATTTTTGAGATTCTTATGAATGGTTCGGAGCGGCATGTCGCACGTTATAAAGTACTCGCCAAACACTTGGTGTCTGCTTCTGCAGAGGGCCTCACATTCACATAGAATGTGATATCACTACTCCTTTGTCAGAACCTTCAGTAATCGGTATCGGAGGTACCCATGTATTTCAGGCGGTTTTTCAGCGAACTATGACTTATGTTTAACAGTAACCAAGTTCCAATTCCAGTAGTGCTATGCCGAAAGATCTTATGAATCTTTTTGCTTGCCATTGTCCTGCATATTACTTTCAAAAGCAAGCCATTTTTTTCTGTGCCCATTGCGATACCAGCTAATTAATCCAGCTTCCTCATACGTCACAGAAAGGCTCTGGACTTATCATGGTCGCTCGAAGCCCCTTTGTTAGCCGCACAATAAGCCCGTTCGTTGCTCTCAATATTCGAATTGCCAGACTCTCACATTGGTTGCAAAGATATCGACTTCAAGACTTGGTAGAAACATTGGAAGTCTTTGTACTTAGGTTGATATTGAAAATGAGCCAAACTGGCCAGAGCAGAAGCCCGCAGTGGAGCATAAACTGAACGCAACTTCGTTTTTCTTAACAAAAATTCATTGGTTTTTTCTCGTTACTCTGAAATTATACAAGTTAGAAAGCTGAAATTTCCCACGTTCACTTTGCGAAACACTGTACTCTTCACGCGGAAAAATGGAAAAAATCGGCCATGCCCACACAAAGTTACAAGTGAATAAATTTTCACTTTTGCGAGATTTTATGCTTACTTTCATAAGGAAAGCAAGACAGAATGTTTAAACCTACTTTGTGCATTCTTCAAACATTCTTCTGTCCAAAAACAAGTTAATTCTAAAGTCATATGTTAGATACCGCGATCTGATGGATTAATTTTTAGTTACTAATACCCGCGATTTGGCATAAGCATAGTGGCGGGTATGCGAGATTCCGCCACCGCCGAATATAACATTCTTACTTGTTAACCTTGGAAAATTTCATAAGGACGGGGATTGAAGTGATCCCTTTTACTAGGAATAGATATATGCAAAACAACAGTGGCTCTAATGCTAAGAAGTTAAACTTTTGTTCGAGAACCAGCAACTTACCCCAGTATAACGCGACTTCGAACGTTGATCAACGATGCAACCTCCCAACTAAGTAAGATGTCCGAACCGAAAATTGTACCTTTGTATTATTTAACTCAAAATAAGAGAAATACCAGCACTTCTCGTAAACAGACCGCAGTATAAAGAAATTTCCATATTCATTATTAACTCATATTTACGCGGATGAGGATCAGATAATAAGTTTGTTGTAAATCTTCTTAAATTTCCATGATCTGTAAACTTTCGTAAATATTGCGAAAAGTCTTTGAGTTTCTTATTTAGTTGAAAATATTAATTAACTGAAAGCATTTGCGAAAAATTTTCTACTCTATTTCTATGAAATTCAACTTTTCAAAGATTTCTTTATATAATTAAAATTAACAAACAATTTTACTTTTTTTTCATTTTCTTGACTTAATCAACTCCAGGTAGAGTTGAACGATTCGGTAGGACATTAAATAAAGGATTAAAGTTCTTTAATTAAGATTTTTATCTAAAGAACAGTATATGCATAAGTGTAGATGTGCAGTTAAGTGTATGTGTTTACAACAAACATGTTTCATTAGTTTTTTGAGTAAAACCTCTGAACTCCACAATATACGTCTTTCAAACTATTTTGAGAAGGAAAAGTTTCTTATACATGTTATCTCTCTCGCCCCATCAAAAAAATAATGCAGAGCACAAAAAAAAAAAAAAAGTTTATATTCTGCAAGATAACTAAGTTTACACGAGCACTCGTTATTCTAGCTTACAATAGAAAATTTAAAACACTTTTGTCGCACTTAATTCCCTAAAGAATGTTTTGCCTTTAAAAGTAAAGCTTTTCGCCGGGGAGACGCAAGCAAGAAGCAAACTTGTCAAAGTGATTACATTTATGCAGAATCTCGCATTCCGAGCACACATCATCGAACTATGTTTTCATTAATTCGATTATTTTTCTGATTGTTTGTCATGATAGATACTAGGTTGATACTGGGTTGATTTTACTGCTAGAGCAAGATGTTAATCGATAAATTCGCCGCAATATATGCTTCATTTCTGATTGCATGCCTTGGCCTCATTTGCTTGGGATTTCTATGAAGTTTATCTTTTTTATTTTTTGTTTATGGAAATGATTTTTCTCAAGTGCATTCCACATACACGTGCATTAATGACGCTAGACTTCCTGTATTTTGGCGCATTGTATGATATCAAACTTCTTCAAATCGATCGTGTTAAGCTAGATGGTATGATATTGAACTCAAAAAAAAAAAAAAAAATGTAAGAAGTCGTTACTTTCATGGAAGAGTATACTGCCCTTTTATTATCGTGCCGATCATCACATCCCGGAAAATGGATCATAAAGGTTGCTTTCGACTCCCTATACTCAGGTTTAATATCCATGTTTACCATTTAGTTAATAAAGCTGGATTTCTTTCTATGTTTATGAAGAGGTAATTTTAAGAATTGTATAACTCCTATGTTGTATGCATCTTTAGTTAGATAACCATCCGCTTTCAAATCCCATGTTGACCTTATTGAGTCTTGAGTTCAAGTTCAAGTTTATATTATTTGCTTTCCATGTTGTTTTAGGATGGGATTCTACCTTACCTCTTCCACGGTATGAAAAGTAGATTGAGTAGTAATACGCTTACCTACTCGAGAAAAAAGACATGAAATATTGTGTGTAACATTCTTATCTGAGTTTATAAAAAGCTAAATTTATTTGCCCGCTTTCGTAGAGCATATGGGTATTAATAACATATACACCCAACTCTTTTTCTACAAAGTCTTTTTTTACACGATTTTCAAATAACGCGATTCAGCAAAAGCAAATACGGATTTTTAAGTTTGAAGGAATTTTTTAATTTTAATTTTGACTTTGTTTCACAGAAACTTATATATACAGCAACAAAATACAATTGAATGAATACTGTGATCAGAAGTTAGTCGGCTTACCGCATTGCTCTAGTGTTATCGCAGTGAATGGTCTTGTGCATTATAAGTATAAAATATGGATTTCATTATTCTTTTTTGCATGATTTTCTAGGCAAACATTTAGAGTGTTTGCAGCTTACACGATAAGTTAAAGTTGTGCAAGATATCCGCCAATTTCACCATATGTCGCATGTATTTTTTTATTCGATTGTTTTTTGCACGGATTTCTAAAGAAAGCATTTACCGTGTAAAAAAAGGATTGGGTGTACCTTTTTGTTATTTTGAAGCTACTAATAACTAACTGCGACTTGTTTAATTTGTTTCGGTTAATGTGTAAAATATTCAATAATTATTACCATTTAATCGATTTCTCGGTTCCCTCAGTCAGTATGATTAGAAGCGTTATATTACGTGACTAACTGCCTAACATCCCGTACTTTCTTCACGCACAGATGTTAAATCCGATCGTAACAATCTTTCCGAATTAGTTAAATTTATGTGTACGTACTCTTTATTCTCCGTCATTCTTTTTATCCTCTTTCTTCTTTCTTATTGCATAGTACCGAGCGATACGTGCTCGATATTATATAATTTTAGACTTTCTGGCACCTGCATAGGTATGTTATAATGTTTGTCCATGTTATAAAAAGGCTTAGTGTCTTCGTCATTTATTATAATTAGTTAAACTCACATACACGCACATCCGCATATATTCAGGCATCGTAAACTATTCTTTAGACTGATCCTGAGTTTTTAATAAAGCCGAAAGCCTTAGATGCTAATGCTTTAAGACTTTAAGCTTAGAATTTATTGTCGGGCTAAATTTATAATAATAATAATAATACGCCAATTGTCTTGTTTACAAATATTCATCTTACTCTTACGCTTAGATTTTTTTTCTAATTCTTTTAATTTTATATTTAATTATATTTACTCAGGAGCTACGTCAAGGCCACAAATTAGCATCGCCACTCAAAAAAACTTACCCCTTTTGTGATTAGAAATACTAAAAAGATAAACTTCGAATAAATTTCCAATTTTTTGCCGTTTAGTCATTAAGGAGCAGAGTTTTACAAATTGCTTTATCGGAAGAAATTGCGGGAACATTCAGATTAAAAAGATTTTGCATTTCCTTCTGCTCAAATTTACCCAACATTTTCTTTTAATAATAATGCTTTTTTCCTTTTTGTTTTAGTTAAAATGTTTTCATTTTTCAAATTTTTTATTTATATTTTTTTTGTACCAATAAAACACCCATTATATTTAACGGTCTATTTCACCAAATACTATATCCAATGAGCCGATAATTGCTACAAGGTCGGCCAATAAATGACGTTTCGATAACTTATCCATTAATGCCAAGTGTGGGTAACTGGCAGCGCGAATTTTACAACGATACGGCCTTGACGTTCCATCCGATACAAGATACACTGCAAATTCGCCTTTGGGCGATTCAACCGCCGTATACGTTTGTCCGGGTGGTACTATTATGCCTTGACTGAAATATTTGAAGTGATGTATTAAATCTTCCATGCCTTTTTTCATTTCGTAACGCTTCGGTGGTGCAATTTTATGATCATCAATTTTAACTTCTCCGCTAGGCATTTTATTCAGACATTGTTGTATAATGCGTACGGCTTCACGCATTTCTTGCACTCTCACTAAGTATCGGTCATAGCAGTCGCCATTTTTGCCGATCGGCACATCGAAATCAATTTCGGGATATGCATCATACGGTTGTGTTTTACGTAGATCCCATTTAACGCCAGTAGCTCTTAACACAGCACCCGAACAACCATAATTAATGGCATCATGGGCTGATAAAGAACCTATACCGACGGTACGCATCTTCCATATGCGATTTTCCGTAATCAAATCTTCAAGTTCATCAATACGCTCAACGAATTTGCTACAAAAGTCATTCAAATCATCAGAAAACCCCAAAGGTATGTCCCAAGCAACGCCACCAGGTCTAATATAAGCAGTATGCATGCGAGCACCCGAGGCTCGTTCGCAAAACTCATACAACTTTTCGCGTTCTTCGAATTGCCAAAACAACGGCGTCAAACCGCCACAATCCAAAATCGCTGTAGTTACGGCAACAGTATGATTCGTTAAACGCATTATTTCTGAAAACATGGTTCGTATATATTGAGCTCTCCTTGGCACTTTTATGCCCAACAATTTTTCAATAGCCATGGCATAGCACAGTTCATTTGACATGCATGATACATAATCCAAACGATCAAAATAGGGTAAAGACTGTAAATAGGATTTATACTCGATGAGTTTTTCCGTGCCGCGATGTAGTAAACCAATATGAGAATCAGCTGACACGACAGTTTCATTATCTAATTCTATTATCATGCGCAGCACACCATGAGCGGCCGGATGAGCTGGACCAAAGTTGATAAATGTCGTACAAAAATTTTTGGGCTCTTCAAAATTTGTATCGGGTCCTTTGAAGAATGGCTTTTTATTCCATTCGTCACACTGCGGATACATAACTGTACCTGCAAATTGTTTAAGAAACTCGGGATCTGGAAACCAAGCGTGTTTTGCTGGCTTATCCTCTTTGAATTCCCTTTTTTTTTCTTCAATGCAATGCGGCTTTTCCTCTAAAATATATATGTGCTCTTAAGAATGTAAAATAGATTCCATATGGAACTTTTTAATACTTACGTCTATATTTAGAAAAAAAAAGGCTCATTGCTAACTTGAAGAATTTGGTTTTAGCAGCTAAACCCCATTGCTGACCGGTCCTTAATTGTTTTGTTATTTGTAAATTTGACCAGTCCTTCATCTTTAAAGCTCCACGCGAACTCAATAATATACGCGACCAATTCTTGAACTTATTCACAATCTTTGACATGTTTACGGAGAATTTTCTTTAAACGTTTTTTCCGTTGAAAAGTAATTTTTTTTAATTGTCTTCTTCTTCAAAGGCATTCAGTAAGCCAGTAAGAGATTATTTTTTTTTAAGTATTCTTGTATTGACAGAATTTTCGTTTTTTTGACATATTTTAGATTTTTGGTGATCATTATCATTTCGCTCATCACAAAGTATCGAAGCGTTCTCTGGTACCTGCTTTACCGCATCAAAGCCGCCTCGCCAAGGATAAGCGAGTAAAATGGTCCCAACAACAAATAGCCAAATCACGGCAAAAACGTGACTTTATCCGTATCAGGCCGTCACGTACCTCGTCATCGAGAGCTTTATCATTGGTAGATGCAGTTCCTTTCAGTGACCCAAAGTGGTCGCAAATGTGGTATTTGGTAAGCAATAAAAATATCGGTGGATTTATGTATCGAATTAAATGTTGTGTTGTTTTTTTCTTTCTGTATTCGAAATTAAACATGAAGAATCGTGGCGGTGGTTTAGATATGAATGTTATACCCGCATGGAAAGAAGGTATTACCGGCAAAGGTATAGTAGTTACTATACTAGATGATGGTCTTGAATCCGATCATCCAGACATTATTAATAACTATGTAAGTTAGAGATGCAAAGACCTAAGATTATGAATTACTTATGCGAACATCGTTCTACATATATATACATATATATATGCTTCATAGGATGCAAGAGCTTCGTATGATGTCAACAGTCATGATGAAGATCCTATGCCTCATTACGATTTAACGGATTCAAATCGCCATGGCACACGTTGTGCAGGTGAAGTGGCGGCTACCGCAAATAATTCGATATGTGCGGTGGGCATTGCATTTGGTGCCAGTGTTGGCGGTGTCCGAATGTTAGACGGAGATGTTACCGATGCCGTAGAGGCACGTTCCCTTTCACTCAATCCCCAGCACATTGATATCTATAGTGCTTCTTGGGGGCCCGATGATGATGGCAAAACGGTCGACGGTCCCGGGGAGTTAGCCTCACGGGCCTTCATTGAAGGCGTGACAAAGGGACGTGCCGGCAAGGGTAGCATTTTCATATGGGCCTCTGGTAATGGAGGCCGAGAGCTGGACAATTGCAATTGTGATGGCTATACAAACTCCATTTGGACACTGTCAATATCTAGTGCCACCGAAGAGGGTCATGTGCCCTGGTATTCGGAGAAATGTAGTTCCACGCTCGCCACCACTTATAGCAGTGGTGGACAGGCTGAAAAGCAAGTGGTTACGACAGATTTGCATCATTCCTGCACGGTATCACATACCGGCACTTCTGCCTCAGCACCTTTGGCGGCCGGCATAGCCGCTTTAGTTCTAGAATCCAATCAGAATTTAACGTGGCGTGATCTACAACATATTGTCGTAAGAACAGCGAAGCCAGCCAATCTAAAAGATACGGCATGGTCGAAAAATGGAGTAGGCCGCAGAGTTAGCCATTCTTTTGGTTATGGCCTAATGGATGCAGCGGCCATGGTTAAGGTGGCACGCTCTTGGAAAACGGTGCCTGAACAACAGCGCTGCGAAATCAACGCTCCCCATGTGGATAAGTAAGTCGTAAATGCTAGATAGTTGTACAATACGACAAAACCTCACATTGGACTTACGTAAATTTTAATATTTTATATGGAGGATAGTAAGAAGACATTCTCGTATTAATAACATACATAAATGACCTTCTAAATTAACTTAATTATGTCCGTTTTTAGCTCAAGCATTACTGCCATTCTCAAAATTTTTTCATTTTTCTTTTCTTTGTTTTTTGTTTGAGTCAAGCAACTAAGAATAATATATATTCGCCTTATTGTCCCTCTTAGATTCCCATTATATCATTGTGGATGGGTGTTAAATGGCTTCAATACAATTTAAAATTATATCTGCCTTTTGCAATCCACTAAGAATCTCTAAGTTATCAAACTAAAGCGTAAATCTGCTGGAGCTTTGAAAAAAAAGGCCACTTGAAGAAATCTTTACTTTTTCTGCTTAATTCATTGAACAGTGCTGTTATAGTGGTTGCGTTACAATATCCAAATCTTAAATAACCAAAATTCAAGAGCCGATGGAATGATAACAGCAATAATGCAGCTGAATGAACATGGCGATCCCGTTGAGTTTATCAAGAGAGCTTGATGTATTTGCTTGGCTTATCCCAGCTGTTAGGGCAAAAAGGGTAGTAATGTGCAAAAGTCATGATGTCGTGAGTTTTTACTGTGAAGACTTACCTCCCCACATAGCAAGGCTCGCTCGGAAAATATTTGCAGTTTTAATTGGGTATATCCTCTCTTGGCCGCTTTTATCAGCAAACATTATTCATTCCAATTAACACAGACTTCAATAAATGACTTATCATTGGTTCCCAATTACGCATGGCTTCAATGCAACAGCTGTGTGTTTCTCACCCAATTCAAATTGCGTAAAAGATGAGAGAAGTATTGGCTATTGTTTGATAATACAACAAACAACAAAGTAACTCACAAAGATTTTGTTATGATACTTTTTCAATTTGACTAAGAAATCACCGGGCGATTAATCGCGTATCTAATATATTTTAAAAAGTTTCCTGACCCTGTTTAGTTGGACAGGTTATAAATGAAGGCGGTCATAATCGATTACTATATTCTCACCTGTTTTACTTCTTGCCGTTTCTTTCAGAGTTATTCCGCCCAAAAGTCATATAACTTTACAACAAACTGTAAAATATTGTTCCATTAACTTTCTGGAACATGTGCAAGCAAAAATTACGCTAACATCGCAACGACGCGGTGATATTCAATTAAATTTAATATCACCGGCTGGTACAAAAGTTACTTTATTAACACCTAGGTAAGGCAATCATGACCGTAACTTTTTGTATTATTGTGAGAACGCTTTAATTTATTTATTATTTAAATTGTTGTTATAAAATATTTTTTATAGAATGCATGATGTTTCAAGGTCTGGTTTTAATCAATGGCCCTTTATGTCCGTCCATACGTGGGGTGAATCACCTCATGGTAATTGGCAGCTGGAAATCCATAACGAAGGACGTTATATGGGTAAATATTAAAATTAATTATTGAATATTAAAAAAAAAAGTTTCAATTAAAACAAAAAAAACTAAAATTATTCTAAACTTCTCCTTTCACGCTGCTTTTAATGACTTTTTTTCTCTAACTAATCGTAAATTTTAACTAAAAATAATAATCTAACGCTTAATAATAATGTCAACGAGAAGGTCATGCTTTATTAAGGGAATGGTCTTTAATCTTCTACGGCACTGCCCAACCTATCGATCCTAATGATCCGGTTTCGGTACCGCGTAATAATCTTGCTGACATTACTACCCCTAACACTAGCTCCAGTAGCAGCACAACTAACCTGTATCAGGTTTATTCGGCACAATATCCACGTATATCACCGAATAATTTCGGCTCGTCTCTTTTGGGTATGTCTGGCAAGATGAACGGAAAACTGCCACCGAATAAATCCGTGTATGTAACTAATATGGGTGGTAACATAGCCAATTATCCTCTGTACGGTAGTATAACACAGACCTCTAATGGTAATAGCAATAAAAAAGCTCAAATTAAGCAGCAACAACAGGGCTATCAACAAATTTCCGCCAGTTATGGTGTGATTTTAGGAACACATAATAATAAAAATAATAACAATGGTAACAGTAATAATAACAAAGGTAGTAAAAATAATAAAGGGAAATCCGGAGAAAATGGCGGTGGAATTGGTATTTCAGGAATTGGCGGCGGCGGTGGTGGCGGTAAATCCAATAAGAACAATAACGGTGGCAGCAATGGCAAAACCTCTAAACAAAAAGAGTTATCCACTCAGGCGACATTGGGTGGTGGTGGCAAAAATAAATTCTATCGCATATCACAACAACAAAGCAAAACGTATTCGATAAAAAATCATCAGAATGGCAGCAATGGAAATCAAAAATCGTCCAAATTGCAACAATCAGCTGAAAGATTACAATCTTATGAGGATAAATTGAATCGAAAGGTTATAGGTGATTTACCTGGCAGCAGCGGTGTTAACATTGGAAAATCTATAAAATCCAGCTATAGTAAATTGCCGGTGAAGGCGCCAAAGCAAATTAAAGAGACGAGCACAACTATCTCGCCAACTATCAGTACCACATTTACCGCCATCGTCAATGCAATAACATTATCAAGCAGCTCTAGTTATCAGCCTTTAAAAGAACGTGTTGTTACTTCAGTGGCCTTACAACCAAATCAACGTATAACCAAACTATTTGAACGTTACGAAAAAATACAATCCATTTTCCCAGAATTTCAGCCCTATCAAGGAAACAAGGACCGCGGCGAACAAACCAACAGCAGCAATAAAAAATTAAACAAACAAACTGTAACAGAAATAAGCACAGGAGGAAGTGCTGTGAAGCCTTCAAGAGAAAATGCTAAAAAATCCTCACCCAGTTTTGTGCCTGATCAGAGAATAATGAAAAAGCAACAATTATTACTGGCAGCTGCTGGGGTGGCCGCAGAAGGTGCTGGCGATAATGCTAGTAGTGATGGAGGTGGCAATTCAAAAAGCGTAGCAGGCCAAAGAAAAACTCCACACAATGGTATAAATACTAGGAAATGTGGTTTATAATGAAGTAGTTGTGGATTTTTCTTTTATCATTTATCTTTTGCGTTTTTATCCTTCTTTCTTTTATTTCTTTGTTTATTCCTTGTTTTGGTCTTTCACATCAAAAATATTTTCATCAAATCCTTAATCCAAGCGTAAATATTTTAATAATCTAAAAAATATTAAGCCTAATTATTTCTAAATGACTGCACATACTGGCTATAAATTCGACCAACGAAACGAATATTTATTTATATTTTAAATTGCTGAGAACTTAATATTAAAAAAGAGAAGAGAAAAGAAGAAACCAAATGGAAACAATTTACAATCGATTTTCTCTGGTTGCAAGAAATATCTATCTTTTCAATATTTAATGTTAACTTTTATCTAAAAGTGTGCGTCCCTCTCCCTCTTAAGGAGTATAGAATAAGCATAGAAAGAAATCATATTTGATTTCAAGTAAATCTCTTAATAGCCAGACTGTCAGATTGTTTCCGATACGTGCTTTCGAAATGTATTCACTCAATTTCACTTGGTATATCGATCTTGTATCATATCGTACATCTATTGTATCAGGTATGCGTTTGACTTTCTTCCATGCACTCCATCGAAGTTATATGCGACATTCGGTTTGGCCAATTTTCAAATATGTTTGTCTACATAAAAATACTATTGATGGGTAAATAGCGAGACGGTCAAATGACTTGGCTAAATCGTTTTGCTATTCACACTAATCCGGAATATTAATATCCTAAAGCACATTAGCAGACATTATTAAGGTACATATTTAGCAAATATTTCATATATACAGGTTGTTCCAAAAAAACGTACAGAAACACATTGTTTGTTTATATAAGCAATATATATATTTTTGGATAGATTCCGCATTAAGGGTACAAATTAAAGTGGATACATGTAGAATTTGTTTAATCAGCGCAAATGTTCAGAAAGCTGGTGTTCAACTGATGACATGTTTCAATGGAATCGCAATCAATTTCCACCTGCAAGTGATCGCCTGTTGTTAGTTTTGTCAGATAAACTTTATCTATGAAAAAAATTCAGTGAGGTGAAGTCTGATGAGCGCGGGGGCCATGCGATGCCATCTCTTCGCCCAATCCATCTGTTCAGCAAATTTTCTAACTAAGTTAGTAAGGGGAAGGTACTCTATCTTGCCGAAAATAATAGTCTTATGCCTTATTCTCATTTTTTTGAATTGGCTGTAGGAAAATGTCATGCCTCATATTCGTGAGCAGTTTCAGGACGAAAGGACTTTTATTTATTATATTATTACTATAATATTATATATATATATATATAGATCTAGAGAACTTCGGAGGGCATTTTGACCCAATTTCGGAATAATAATTGGATTTTGCTTTTTTCACATCGTTTCTCATCGGGGAACCACTGTGGCGGCGTAAAAATAAAAGATTTTCGTAGGGTATTTTGAACTAATTTCGGAATGCTAATCGGAAGGCATTTTAACATAATTTGTAGGATTTTGCTGTTTTTTTTGTCATTTCGCATCGGAAAACCAGTGTAACAGCTTAAAGTTTAAGGATACTTGCGGCAAGTAGTCTAACTAATTCAAATTTGAACTAGGGCAAATAAATAAAAAATCGTTTAATCTACATTTCCACAAGTAGAGAAGTGTTTTGGGTGAAAAAGCTCAATGTTGACCAAAGAAAGGCTGCTATTTATACCCTATACCACTTTGTGGTACAAGAGCATATTAAGCGTGTGCCGATGTATGCAACACCCAGAATAACTTGCACTAAATTCACGTTTTATTCAATTCAGAATCACTTTCACATGCTTTCGTAGATTGCCTGTCCATCTCACCGTCTCGTTTTCTTGCGTTCAACATTCACAACGTTTGAGATATTTTGATAAAATTTGGTAAACTGACGCATTGTGGTCAAAGGATCAACGCTATTGAAAATGGTTCGGTTCGGACCACTTTTTCAGCCAAGGTTCATAAAACACCCCGTTTTAAAAAGTCGTTATATAAATAACTTTGGAGTGGCGGAGGCCACATAATGGTGGGCCGTGTCCCTGTTCTTTTTTGTATATTTAGTAAATGATGTAATGGTACCACTATAAATTTTTCTGAAAAAACAATGTTTTTTTAGTGAGCTTTTTAGGTTATATGGGAAAAAATTGATTACCGGCACAAATATTTTTCCTTGAAAATTTCAAGCAAAACGCATCTCTGCTAGCAAATTGCTGCCTAATTTTTTTGTCTGCCGATTTCTAGCTCTTCTATGTTCCTGTCAAACCATTTCCAAGCAAAAACATGCACTAATATAGCTTCGCGAAGACGACCTTTGAATAGACATGAGGCTGAGAGTGATTTCAAAGTTTTCTATGCTTCTTCCAAGAAATTAAAAGTTTTAAACGAACCTATTGGGCTTGGCTTAACAATTTTTTCTACCATTTTCTATCATTTCATAATATATAAAGCATAACTTGTGCGATTCGATCTTTGGTAGACGCAGTAAAAGAGAAATTTTCGAGCATAAAATTGTCGCGGAAAGAAAATGAAAGGGAAATTTTATGGTATTGAAATTGCGAACTAATGAAAAGAAATAAAAAAAAAATGTTTTGTGATAAAAACATGTAGTACATGTGAAAAGTTTGGAAAAGTTTTAAAACACAATTTTTGAAAAGGACGCATACATCGTAATTCAAGCAATATTTGTTCCGATTCTCTACAGCAACTTTAAAACAACATTGTCTAGAGAATTACGTATGATATTTCGTTACACTTTTCATAAATAGAGGAGGGACTTTTTCATTGAAACATTTACCTTTCAAACAAAAATCAATGTTGCTATAAACAATTCTACAACAATTTCTAGATATGGAAATGTAGATTGATTGATTTTTTTTTTATTTCAAATTTGAATAAGTCACACTACGCATCGCAGAGCTCCTTGAGTTGAAAGTCTTGCTATGTGTTAATATTTACACAAAACCATTTTCTTTTCGCCGAGGTCCAAAAAAAATTGTCAAAGAACCTCTTTCTTTTAGGCTGATAGATTAGTTTTATTCCTTGCATTATCTTTTCGAAAATCTCGCTCGTACTTCATTTCAAAATGTTATTTTAGGAACATTATTGAGACGTCAAATGAAAGGAATAAAAATGATTGGATTTATGCTGCTTGCCATCTCGAAAACCCGTTTTTCAAATATCCTTACAGTGCTTCACAATTGCCTCCAAAAAAAGTAAATTTTTGAACCATTCAAAAATTTTGCAAGACCACACTGATCTTTTTACCTTATTTTTGACTACTTAAGAGATCATTTAAGAAGAAAAAATAAAGTGTTCTGAAAATTTTACAACCTTTTTAATTATATTTATTGTAAATAATTGAATTTAAATTCATAAAGAATAGCATATACTTAGGCATCAAACATTTTCTAGAGATTTTATATACTTTCGGGTGAACAGGTAGTCATTCTATTATTGTCAGTACTTTACTGAAGTTATTGAAGTTCGTTAAACGATAAATAAAATCTTTTTGTTTAGTTTCTTTATTTTCATATAAACTAAAATAATTTATTGTTTCGATTTGCTTAATTTTCTTTAAATTATTTTGTAACAATCATGGCAACTTATGAAGTGAAACGTTTCCATTTTATAATTATATGAAAGTATACTTTTTAATCTAAAAACTTTTCACTTAGTTGTCTATACGTAGATATATATGCATGAATGGCTTTTTTATTACTTATTTACGTAAAGAAAACTTTAAACGTTATACGGTTTGTTTCTCTTTTTTCTCTTCTTTATCCCGTTTTTTTTTTATTTTCTCTTTTGTTTATCTCTTTTCGTAGCACAAATCACACAATGGAACTTAATTTTCTATGGTACAGAATTGCCTGCTCAACCGGATGATCCCATACCTGTCAATTCAGAACATTTCAGTCCATATGGCAACATTATGGAACACAATGATATTGAATACGATAGCAGCGGCCAATGGCATAATATGCAACAGGTAGGTTATTAAAAGTTATCAATGTATGCGTGTACAAGTGTATACATGCATATACAATACAAACCTTCAAAAAAGTATTCTTTACCTAAGACGGATGCATAAATATTTAAACCAAAAAGAAAATTATGCAAATTTTTATGCCTAACAACTAAAAACACTACAGTGGACTACGGCCCACAATTATACACCCTACGCGGAGATAAATTGCATAAGCGGTGATATTATTTTACCAGAAATTAATAATATCACATAGGAACATATTTAATAATTTATCTGATTTAGCAGACATAAAAACCGGAACCTGTACTACGAAGCAAATTACAATGAAACAAACTGTCATCGAAAAAGAGATTTACAATTTTTTAATAAAAGAGAAAAAAAATTCGTTCCAAATCCTAAGGGCCAATGCAATCTTATGTTCAGTAAATATAGAGTCATTTTTTGAAATTGATACGAAAAAGAATTGCGAACAATATAATCGAGCAAGGCCCACCGACCGTCTAATACTGCTCTTCATTTGTTTCTTTGACACAATGTTAATATATACCTTGTTTCCATATAAAGGCAGTCTTTTCTTGGAAGCCTTTATGCGAGAGAGACGCCAAAACGTATACTAACGTAATCTAAATGCTGCGAAATCAATAAGCTTATCAAAGATCTTCTATGGCGTAATTTCAATTTAGATTTAATCGCTATATAAAGGCTTCATGTCCCATGAAATCCTTCATACTGAGGGGATCTCAATAAATTGAATCACGTTTCCCAAATTTGGTACAATTAATTGCTTTATCAAATTGCTCTTGTATGACAATTTACGCTACGACATTTTAAAAATTAGTAGAAACTTTATAGTAAAACACACCCCATGGCCCAGTTATTAAGGGATTTTCAAGATAAGGCCGTATATTGAAAGTGAGGTGAGATCCGATTTATTTTCAGTATCTTTTGTCCTTGGGCCAAAATCATCATATTTGTGCGCTTAATACAAGAAAAAAAGGTGGACAGATGGACAGAAAAGCTTAAATCGAGCGTACGTCAAGCCTTTCTAAATCTGTTGCATACAACCGCACAAACTTAATATGCCCTTGTACTGCAAAGTAGTGCAGGGTGTAAAAACTAAATGCGATAACAATGACTGTATACTTTGCCTACAGACCATTAAAATTTAATTATTTTTTTATTGCTGTTAAGTTCAATAACATAAGCAAAGGATTCATTGTTCAATAAGTAATGGGAAAATTTTAATATTTAGAATTCGTTTCCTGGTTTCCGTGGAGATTAAATGCTTATTCGTGAAATTATTCATAATGTTTATGTATTACATATCATTTGAAAATTCCTTTCACATTCATCAGGCGAGACTATGTTTATGCATAATTTGTCCAGAAAATAGTGATTATGTATTTATTTGCTGAGGACAATGCTATATAATTCGCCATGCCCTCATCCTTACAGCGTTTGTAGTTCCGTGTCTCATTGCACGACAATACTTATATAATGCAACAACGATCATTCCATGATCTTCTAATGAACATTTAATTCTTCTCTGCTCGACACAATCACAAAGATTATGTTTCTAGCCCTAATGCCTGACTGTTATTTGGGACTTGCATCTCGTAACGTAGCGATTGTTCATCGCTTTTACCGGAAACATTCTTTGAATTAAGCAAAAAAAGTAATGCGTCGCGCAAGGGCCGCTATTCTGCAAGGACAGAACTACACCTATTCAAACTTTCAAGCAACTATGTTGCCTATGCTTTCGTGTAATAATTTACAAAGTTACGTAATAGTTTAAAAGTGCTTTTAAAGGAAGATGTCATAGGTATATTAGCACCCTACTTATAATCTCACTACTTACAATATCTCTCTTAGAAAACGGTGGACTCATATTCACATGCCCAGTATGTCATATTTTGCTAATCCATTTATATTTTACATTATTTCAACCCATTAGGTTTGCTAACTGTGAAAACATTGAACCTTTCTTTCATCATAGAAACAACACACTGCCATTTTTATATCGTACTAACTAAATGTGGCTTTTTTCTTTAAACCCTTAAATAAAAAATTCATAATTTTTTTTTTATTTTTCTTGTTTTGTTTGTTTTTATAAAGAACTCGCATGCAACAACCATCGTTGCAACAGAATGACTAGAGACTCTATCCTGAACCTATTGTATATAGTATTCCGGCAATATTTTCGCTACATATAAATTGGGCGCTTTGCCAATCATATTATGTAAATGTATTGTCACATTTTAGTCTTTTGAATCACTAAAGAGATATAACATAAAACGAGTTGGTTTTTTCTTTGGCATATTTTTCCATAACTATAGTTTTATGCGTACACTTGGAAAAATAGTTTCCCTAAAAAGAAAACAAAAAAAATAAAATATTTTAGTTAACTATGAAAATTAAGTGAAATCTACTCCAAACTTTAAAAGTTAAGTTAATTTCATGTAAAACGCACAAAAACCGTAAAACATGTAGCTTTTCATTTAATCAACTAAAGTTAAATTTCATTGAGTTTAGATACATTTTTTCATTACATGTATTTCATGTACGTGCAAAACACGCGAAACTAAAATGATTCATTGAAAACTCTAACGCTAGCCATACCGTCTGCTAAGTGATTTAACATGCAATCCTTTCCCGAAAAGTCAGTTAAATAGCGAGCAGACAAACAGGCGGACGACTGGGCTGTTTAAAATTCGTAATGCACATATATATAGAGAATGTATACAATGAATATAAAATAAAAAAAAATAAAAAATAAGTAAAGCTCGTAATCATACATTCTAAACAAGTTGAATGAACTTTTATTGTACAAAAAATCAAAAAAAAAAAAGGAAAGAAGCGGCGTCTCACAGAAAATTTCAAAAAAAAAATAGAAACTAAAACCAACTATAGAAATAATGAAACTTGAAGTATATTATATGTATATATATATATATATATGCAAACACACACTTATACTGCACATCTTTCCAGTGCAGTATAAATGGAAAAAAACGGAAATGAAACAAATCCGAAAAAAGATACTATTTGCATTTTTTTTTTTTTTGTTTACTTCCCTCTAAGGGCGTCGTATATGTACCCGTATACATTCACTTTTAGCACTCTTCATAAAACTACTTAAATTTTATATAGCCTTCAGTAAAGCGAATGCATAAGCCTTGTTATTGCCTGACTGACATTCATAAAACATAAAAATTTCTAATTAGTTGTCTAAGTTACTTCAAGTGGCATGAAATGACAATAAAATCCAGTATAGGTGGAAAAGCTTAATACGCGAAAAACCGTACATAACGATAGTGTAGCGTAGGTCAGGACACCGTTTAGGATTAGTCAATGGGCAAAAGCTGCATGAAATTCTTGCATTTCAAAGGTATATTGCATCGCGACGATAAAAGGTTACGTTGCATTTTCTACTATCACCTCGGAAAAAGCATAAATGCGACGTACATGTACTTATATAAGTGCAAGCATCGCTAAAAATGCTTGAATCGTTGTTGTTGTTCTGCAAGTTTCAATATTCAAGGCACTCCTCAACTTATAAAAACAATTAAAAACGCCAATCGCCGCATTAAGTAACCTACAACACTACCCCTACCATAAGTTTTCATTTATTTTCGTGATAAGATAACAAATATTCTACCTTTTCCTCATATAAAAGCGGCAAATATCCAAAACGTGAACTGACGCGGTTCAGATTTTGCTTTAGATATAATCTTTTTGACACAGACATTATTAATATTCATTCATTTTCGTTATAAGTACTAGAAATAAATCATATAAAGGTCTCGTTTTCAAGAGTACCCGATGGTGGTCCAAACGTCCTCACCTAGTAAAGTGCTATGCTAAACTATTAATGCGGACTAATTTCGATTACAAACTGTTAAAAAGACGCCTTCTTGTCATATGAATGCGTACTTTTGATAAGAATCCTTGTAAGGGCTAAAGTATAAAAAATGGAAGCACACGTTCCATATTTTGTGCAGTTGATTTTTATGTCGATCTACAATTTAAAATATTAAAAATAGTTTGGCTTAAGTTTTGTAGCACCAGTTTTATAGGAGGAGATCTAAAGCGTCGGCAGAAATTTAGTTTGCCGAAATACTGTTAATCAGCGACTTTTGTCGAGAAACTTTGAAAATTGAAATTTCTTCTCGCGTAACAATCTTTCCAAACTAAAGCGTCATGTGGGGAGTAGTCGTAGTAGTGATCCAATCCAAACCACTTTTATTTTTAGAGTTTGCCTTCTTGGCCAATCCATGTCAGTAATCCTTATACAATGCATGGACCGACACACAAACATGGTAAAATAAAAGCTAAGTCTCTCTTAAGTCCTTCCGCACAAACTTCATATACATCGCATCACAAACGGAGGGCCTATAAGAATGCAATTAAATTCGTATAAAATTATTCGCGCAAGGAACTGATTTTTTTTATGTTATTATTTGACAGCAATAAAAACAAAACGTTATCATTAGCAGAAATGTTATTGCGAGAAACTAACAAGGGTAGTGCTGATTGATTTTCTTCTCTTTCAACGGATTCATTTCTTTACCTTTGTAATAAATTTCAAGTAATTGAACTTTTCTTCAATTTCCATGTTTATTGCATAGGATGTACGTAGTTTGTGTGCTTGTGCGCAGCATCTTGAAGGAGTTAAGATAGGCCCACTTTTTATTATTCAGAAAGTTATTTTGAACGTATTTAAGATTGTTCAACCATCTGTCCGCCCGTCCGTCCGTCCGTCTTGTTCTCTCATATTCAACCTATAGGCCACAGTTTGCGAAATGTTTTGATAAAATTAGTGCATTGACGTGTTATATTCCAAAGACAAAACCTATAGCAAATTGTTCAGATCGGATCATTTTTCGACTACTACTCATAAAACGCTTTGTTTTAAAAAATAGGTGAAAAGGTATTGTAATGTTCAGAATTTTTTTCGAAAAAACGCAGCAGCTGTTTATTATAGTTTATATAAGTTTATTTTTTAGATCTCAATCTTTTCTTAGGACAAATAAGTCTTTACATGGCAATAATGTCCAGTTTTAGATATTTTATGATGAAAATTGATTCGTAAGAATAATTTGATATATGGATCAAGATATATGGATGGGATTTATAGTTTTTTTATTAAATATTTTATGTTATAATTTATCATATTTTATGAGGAAAATTAGTCAATAGTAGCAAACTGGTATAAAAATAAATCGTAGGAAATTTGGCTCACGTAGAGCTACTTTGTAGACTCCACCATATATAGGGATTCTCACGAAAAGCAAACCCTAAAGCAAGTGAAAATTAATAAAATTTTTGACAATTACACAAAGTTTTCCAAATTTAGATCACACCACATTAGCTGCCTTTTGTAAAAATGATATATTATCATAAAAATCATGGCGTAGTGATGTAGACTGTCGGCCTTGCCTGATAGTTTTCTTACTTGTTTTATCAAAACACCACCTTTTCATTGCCTTTTGCAGAATAAGAAAAAACAATCCAGTTTCCGATAAGGTAAAGACGGTAAACAACAACAGTAATGCGTGGTGTTAAATCTCGACGTGGCCTAAAACGTGGTCACGCCAATTTTCTTCAATGAAAAATCTGCGCGTGTTATATAAGCAGATCAAAGCCCATGCTCGCAATAAGCATTTGAAAAAAACGTTTGCTTCAAGACGGGTTTTTTTTTGCTGATTTTGCTCACTTTTAAAACTTAACCAGCTCTCTATTGTACTTTTGGGGGCTGACGGGGGGAACTCTGTTTATACAGAAGAAGTAAATGAACACAAATATAAAACTAAAGCAATTAAGAATCCTCTTCTATTCAGGACTGTCTATGATTCCTTTGATATTTTATATTTTTTATTATTTCTTTACAGATTGGCGAATCCAGCATGATGTCTCATGATCGCACAAATAGCAGCTGTTTAAAGGCCACAATTAATCGTGAATGCTTAGGTTTGTCTTTATTTCTAATATTTCTCTATAAAATTCTTTCTCTACGCTGCTGTATTACCAATTCTAATCGTTTACCTAACAAAAGATAATTTTTACAAAATTCACACTTCTATACTATTAGATTCTAAGCTTTGTATAAATTTGGAGTTGGGTATAAGGAAGTCTTAATCTCCTTTTGTAAACTAAAAAAGAAAAAAAAAGAAAAAAAAAAAAGAGAAAAAAACATGAAAGCTATAAAATCCACACAAAAAACAAACCAAAAAACTATACGAAATAATTAATTAAGTCTAACTATATATTTAAGGCGAATAGTTCAAGTCCATCTTAGGCTATAAACAAAAGGAATGTTATAAGAAATTAAGCGGGTTTTGTTTTGTAAGGCAGCATTTGAATAAAGAAAAAAAAAAAAAAAAAAACGAAAAAAAAAATTTTACAAAAATTGAAAAAACATTTCCAAAATGGTTGTCTTAAGCATATAAAAATACAAATATAATTATATATTTAGAGAGAACAAAAAAAAACAGAAAAATAAAAACACAAATTAAATGATAGGTTAGAACTGAAAAGAAACCACTTTTGTAAATCAATCAATTTCAAGATAACATAAAAGAAAGAAGAGAATTGAAATTTATTTCACAATGAAAATAGTGTTTATATAGATGTTTGAAATAATTTGGAAATTTCTCTGATTAGTCCGTCTGATAACAAAATCTATTTACCATCTTAAATAGGGATAATAAAAAGGGGTCCTTAAACCCATACCCTAACCTAACCTAATCTAAGCAAATGACTGTAATGAGACATGAGCATGAAGGACTTTTTCAAATATATATATATATTTATATATATATATTTGTTACCAATATAAAATTTCAAGTCGATTGAGCCACAATCGTTGGCAAATACTTTTAACGTGCACAAAATTGCAAATATGAATAAAAAATTTTGAAAGTGGATAAATTTATCCTTTGTGGAACACCAGAGTTGCGGTTAAAAAATACGAAATGAGACTAAAAATTATCGAAATGAAATTGTGTCTTATCGTAAATGGCAAAATTAAACGAATTCATGTAGATGTGGACCTAATAATCAAAATATAACGTTAACTACTCCCAACTCTTTTTTTACGCGGCAGATTCGTTTTTTCGAAATCCGTGTAAAACAAATCGTGTAAAAAAGGTATAAGATGAAGAACCCTATATATTTTTTCAGAAAACCACACAAAAGAGTAATAATGAAATTTTATAACATCAAAAGCTTTCATTTTTATTGTAAAACACAAAAACAAATGCACACTAAATGGAGCGAAGACCCAGTCCATGAGTATGGGGTTCGATTCGAAGAACAATTTCGTTCGTTATTAACGGCCAGCTAGCAATAGGGCAAGTCACGAACACATGTATGGGCATAAAACGACTAATTTCTGATCACAATATTCCCCCCATTGTGTTTTGTCATAAGCTTCTGTGAGACGCTATCAAAATTAAAATTAAGAAAAATTTGTTCTTTTTTGTCGATTGGTGCTACAACAAAATATTAATGTAAAAAAGCTGTATTTCCTCTCTTGAGTGGAACGTGTTATTTAAAAAATCGTATAAAAAAGACCGTGTAAAAAAGATCATGCAAAAAAAGAGCGTGTCGAAAAAGAGTTGAATATAAATACTTCACCTTAAGTATTGAGATATTTTTATATGGACCATAGCAAGTATGTCCGCTTCTTCACATATTTTTCCACTTAATAAAGTATGCCCCAGAAGGCAAAGAAAGTAAATGTACTTTATGTAAAGCAAGATCAGTTCATAACTGCCTGCCTATTCACCCGACCGTTTGTTGGGAGCAAGATAACAATCTCGGGACTTTTTCTAGGGCGAAGAACTTACAAACTTATTGTAGCTTTGTTACCGCCCACTAGAAAGAGCCCAGTCCAAAGTTCACCTTGCAATTACGAAAAAGCCACAACGATATATGTAAAATCAAGTCATAGTATAAATTTTTTACATCATAACCTACGAGGTCCCAATGAATTCTACAAGAATATGATTCGTACGATATATTCTACAATATTTGCATATGGGGTACCACATACAGCGCAGTGTGCGTACAATATAATACTGTAACCTAGCAACAGATAGCAAGAGTTTGATTCAAGGTGTTTATAATATCTTTTTTTTGTTATTATTAAATTTATAAGGTTGGGGTGATGGGTAGCGAAGGTTCGCCTTAAGGCGAATACCATTTTTTTACATTTTTTTTTATAATGTGTATTCAAGGTGATGGGTATAAAAGATTAGTTCCACATGTTTCGTTTGCGGCATTACAAGCTTAATAGGTTATATTTTATAAAAACTTGTGCCAAAGAAGAAATTATTATTAATAAATTTATTATTATATAAGAAATTCATTATCAATTATCTAAATCCTTACATATTGATGGAGCCTCCGACCATCGACATTACTTCTGTTAAATATTTCAACCTAACTATTGCTTTATAAATAAAGTAGTAAAAAAGGAGCTCAAAAATGGCGTCAGGACGTCATTCATATATGTATTAGATCTTACGGCCTTCAAGCGCCGCGTCAAGCAAGAAATTTTGTTGAGAAATTGTTTATTTAATTAAAAGGTGAAAACTTTTTTAAATAATTATTCATAAACAAGTGTAACGATTGACTATCACAATGTGTAACAATTTCTCCTACAAATAAATTTTTTTTCACAGTTTAAAGCATTACTGCGGGAGGAAAGGCGGATCATAAAGTACCTTACATTACTTCTCCTAAAGCGATTATTCCTTTGATTACGTCATAAAATACAAAAAATTAGATCATTAGCCTCCAATTTTGAAGAGGATAGGGGATGCGAACGCTATTCTGGAACATTTTCAAAAAGTTAGACTTCGCTGCAATATAAAGTCTTATATGTGCATGAATATTTTCATACAAGGCAGCTATAAAAAATGACATTAAATTTTTTTCCTATAACGAAGTAGAGCATTGTGATGATAAAAATAATTCAATCAAATGATTTGACGGGCGGACAGACTTACATCGATGTATGTTAAAGACAAGAATGGATAAACAGGCTTCAGACAAGCAGAGACAGGGCGACTGGCTTAGATGGGCAGACTGCAGACGGAGAGGCGGATGAATAGGCTTATGTTGATGCGGATTAAAGACAAGAATAGGTGGACAGACTTCAGACAGAGGACGGAGCGGACAGGCTTAACTTGGAAACAGTAATAAGTGAGCAAATCTCAGAGAGAGAGACGGGCAGATGGGTTTTACTCAATGAGGCTTAAAGATAAAAATAACGGTTTAGACTTCAGACCGAGGGACGAAAGCACCTGCTTAAATCGTTATGACTCAAAGACAAGAATAGATGGCACATTGTAAGTGTACTCATGATTAGCGCAAATTGCTTTGTTCAAATCATTTATCTGCGCGTACGCTGGAATTTACTATTTATGGGGTTTTTCTACAAAACCACTGTTTGCTTTATCTGTTCAGGCTAAACTCAAAAACCGACTAAATGAGTACATAACGCGGTTAACGATTGAAAGAAACCAATAGTTTTGTCCTTTTACTTATATTACCATCGTAACCATTTTAAATTTTTAAAGCTTTCAGGTTTGCAAACTGTGGCTAATCCCTTTCTCTCTCTCTCTCTCTCTCTCTCTCTCTCTCTCTCTCTCTCTCTCTCTCT